AAATACAGATATTTTAGGAACATTTGGCAAATGGTCACAGTTGAATTCTGTGATGCGCTGAAGGAACTGACATATTTTTAAGTCCCTCCAATGTTCTAGGTTCTCATCCAAGCTCTGCCTCACACCAGCCATGCTGGTGGCCGGGTTTTAGGAGAGAATTTAGGGCCAGGGCTCTGAATTCATTAGGGTTTTAATGTCGGATCTGCTGCTTAAGAACTGTGCCGCCTGAGGCAGGCTCCTCTCAATCTGTGCTGATGGGGTGATGGGCTGCACTGTTTCCCCATAAGTCACAGGTTGCAGGGGAAGCCCTAGCTCCCACTGTGAGGGGACTTGGAGAGAGGCCTTAACAAAGGTAATGAGGGGTAAGTGAGGTCCTGAGTGTATGGACCTGATCCGCTAGGACTGGTGTTTCACAGGAAGAGGGAGTGACGCCTGGAATGCACACCCACAGAGAGGAGGCCACGTGAGGACACAGTGAGAAGTCTCCCGTCTGCAAGTCAAGCAGAGGCTCCAGTAGAAACCAAATGGCCAACCCCTTGATCTTGGATTTCTAGCCCCCAGAACTGTGAGGAAAGTACATTGCTATCGGTTAACTCACCCAGCCCGGGTATGTTGTTATGTCAGTCCTCGCAGACTCGTAAGATCGGTATACTGTAGCTCATGGTTGCATGTGGCTAAATACAATGCTTGTCTCCTAGCATGCACTCAGTAAATGAAAGCCATTATTTGTGGCTCAGGAGAAGAAAAAAAAAATAAATAAAAAGGCAAAATTAATTAATATTTAAAATCTATATGCCAAGCATTTTGCATAAGTACCTAATTCAGTCTGCATAAGAGTACAGGCCACCCCCATTTTGCAGATGCCCTAAAAGGTGATATAATTTGTCTTAAAATCACAGAGAAAGTGGCAGAATCAAACCTAGCATGAACATCTGAGTGCCTTCCACTCTGCCATGCCACCTCTGAGAGGAGCTTCCTAGATGCCAAAGGCTGTTAATGAAAGAGAGCCGCGCTCGGCGATTTCTGCAGCGGAGACACATCCAGGGTTGGCTTCTCTTGCAGGAATGCACTTCTGCCCACACACGGAGGTTCGGTCCCACATCAGGCTGGGCCACACAGATGCCTGCATGGGGAGTCACATAGCTTCTCAAAGAAGAACTTTTTAATCTGTTCAAGCACTTGAGAACCAAGTATTCACTTGACAGACACTCCAGCGCTGTGGGCCAAGGGCATGAAGCCAGTCTGGCCTAAGGCATGGGAAGGGCATGTGTTAACAATCAGTAAGGTCCTTCCTCGCAGTGCCTGGTGTTTGAGAACTGCCTACAGACAGACATATAGACAGATGCCTGGACCAGGATGAGGTTAACTGCACAATGGAGCCTTGGTGTGCCACATGGATGACTTCCCACACTTGAGATCATTGTGGATTGTGCTTAACCGAAGAGAATATCAAGTGAAACAAACATTTCTCATATGGTTACTACTAAATCATTCTTTCCAGTAATGATTAGCCAATGTCATCGACTATTTTAGGATCACTCCCTATTCATGAAAAAAGATAATAAAGGTATTTTTTCCCTTTTACCATGATATGTTACATGAACTTTTTTTTATTATTAAGACTATTTTTTTAAAATATGTTTTTATTGACTTTTTTAGAGAGAGGGAGGGAGTGAGAGGGATAAAGAGATAAAAACATTGATTGGCTGCCTTCTGCACACCCCCTTTGAGCCCAACCTGGGCATATGCCCTGACCAGGAATTGAACTAGCAATCTCTTGGTTCATTGGACGATGCTCAACCACTGAGCCACAGCAACCAGGATAAGACTATTTTTTAGAGCAATTTTAGGTTTGCAGCAAAATTGAGAGAGGTAGATTTCCCATATATTCTTGGCCCTCGCACATGCGTAGCTTCCCCCGTTATCAACACCTTCCACGAGAATGGTATATATATTTTTTTCACCAGGGATGAAACCCACGTTGACACATCATAATCACCCAAGTCCATAATTTACCTTAGAGTTCATTCTTGCTGTTGTACATTTTGTGGGTTTAGACAAATATATAATGACATATCTCCATCATTATAATGACATACAAATTATCTTTATAAAAATTTTGTGTGCTCTGCCTATTCATCTCTTACCACCACCACCCCGGCAAACACTAATCTTTTGACTTGATAGTTTTGCCTTAGTTACATTTAAATATTAAAAAAAGAGAGTAGAAAACAGCCCTTTTTAAAAACAGAATATATATATATATATATATATATATATATATATATATATATATAAATCTTTATTGATTTTAGAGATGAAGGGAGAGGGAAAGAGAGACAGGAATACCAATGATGAGAGAAAATTGATTGGGTGCCTCCTGCACATCCTCCACTGGGGATCAAGCCTGCAACCCAGGCATGTGCCCTTGACCGGAATCAAACTTGGACCCCTCAGACCACAGGCTGACACTCTGTCCACTGAGCCAAACCAGCCAAGACAGAAAACAGCCCTTTTAATGATAATTAAAACTGAATTTAAGATTTATGGAAAGACTATTTCTAAGATTAGCCACCAGTCACTCATAGCAACATGGATTTGAACTGTGTGAGCATGCTTATTTTTTTTTTTTAAATATACACTTTTAGTATATTTTCTCGTGATTTTCTTGATATTTTTCTTTAGCTTTATTGCAAGAGTGTAGTATGTAATACATATAATGCACAAAATATCTGTTCATTGACTTGTTATTAGTAAAGCTACTGGTCAACCCCCACCCACTACATTGTTCAATGGTCAACTAATCTCTCTGATTTTGTGTGTGTTTGAAATTTTCCATAATAAAAGTTTTTAAAAATAAGAATGACACTAAAAACATTATTTCTACCCTGATTCTAATGTAATAGAATCAGACTTTGAAAAAGATTCTAAGATAAGAATAAAATTTCTCATGTATCTCAACTTGTGAAATCAAAGGTTGATGAAGGATGGGTGACTACTTCCAAACCTCTTAGGTATCAAGTTTATCTTAATAAGATAATCAGTCATACAGTAATGCACCCAGAATGCATTGGCTTCTTGTGCCAGTGTGGCAGTTGCTGTCTGTTCCACGTGCTGTGACCTCTCAGCACCTACCCTTCAAGGGCATCCCACCTGGTTTACAGTGTCTGACACCTGTGATTGTGTGTGACCTCTTTCTCTGGTCTTCGGCGACAGCCTGCTTACCTGGGTTAATGATGGTGACATTAGACAGAAAAAAGGATACGTGATAAACTTGGATCAGGATTGAAGGAGAGAATGACTTGTAGTTTAAGATACCTGTAGACCATGGAGGGATATGTGTGTTAGGTGTTGAACACAAGGTCCTATCAATGGCTTATAGAAGGCACACTCTGTTGTGTGCTCTGTCACCGTTTCCCCATCACAAACCATGCTTCAGCCACATCTGACTAGTATCTCTTAACTCTCAATTTGCAGTGGCTGTTCCCTCTAACTGGAATACCTTTTTGTACACCCTCTCCCTATCCCCCGCCACCACCACCATTATCCGGGCAAGTGCTGTTTGGACACCTGTGACAGAGCACTCACTATCATCAAATAGCAGGGCATCCGTGGCCCAGAAAGGGCCTCTGGAGCCAGCCTGTCTGGATGCAAACCTTGGCTCCACCTCCCTGCGTGACCTTGTTGTTAACTCAGTTTCCTAACACAGTGAGGATAACCTTAGGACACCTCGCAGGGCTATTGAGACAATTCAATGAATTACACATTTAAAGCACTTTTAAAACAGAGCATAGCACATCAAGTGTGCTATAAGTCTTTGCTATTACTATTAGTTGCTATTTTATAAGACAGCCCATATCATTTTCTATTTAAAAACTGTTTTTTAAAAAGAATTGTAGTAACAGTCTTATCAAATAGTGCCGATTTAAAACAGTGACTGTCCTGGTCTTTTCTAAATGTTGTCACAAACTGTTGAAGTAATTTTTGCCAGCCTTTTTTGTCTTCTCTTTCATCTTTAAGTCACTTTTTTTGTGGATTGCCGTACTCTTTAGACTGCCTGCCTTTTACGTCTGTGTTGCATTTCATTGTTTTTGTAAGCATTTCCTGATATTTGAGCATATGGATTATTTTCAGATTTTTATTTTTCTAGTTGGACCTGTTTGACAAACTTTTTCTGTGAGTTAAGCTTGGGATTTTTTTCTGAAAGTGAAATTTGAGTCAAATTTTATTTTTATAATACCTTTTATTATAAATTTACCAAATTGGTTTTCAGATTTTGTCTATAACCTAGTAAAACCATTATAATTACTAACATAAGAGATTTAAGAGTGTATACATAATTATCCTTTAAATTTAGGACTATGTATCAAAATTTTAACAAGCTGAAAACAGTATCTTTGTGGCTAAGGGCAAGAGAGCATGAAGTTTAACTTTTTTTTTTTCCCAAATATATTTTATTGATTTTCTACAGAGAGAAGGAGAGAGGGATAGAGAGCTAGAAACGTCGATGAGAGAGAAACATCGACCAGCTGCCTTAAGCACACCCCCCACTGGGGATGTGCCTGCAACCAATGTACATGCCCTTGAACGGAATCGAACCCGGGACCCCTCAGTCCACAGACCGACGCTCTACCACTGAGCCAAACTGGCTTCGGCGAAGTTTAACTTTTTCTAACAGATATAAATTACAATATTTTTTTTAAAAATTGACTTAGAAATAAATATAGACCTGTTTAAACCTAAATTAAATCAGTCTGCTTACTTTTTGAAATAATACTTGCAGTTTAGTTCCTGAGGGAAAATAACCTATTAAGAATAAAGTGGTTAAACACAATAGATGATTTCAATGAAATACATATTTGAATATTTCATAGCACATTATAACTCATGTCAACGTAAGAAATATAAGAATTCATAATGATTCAAATGCTTCCCCCCTCCTCCCCAGTTTCATTGAGATATAATTGACAAATGCTCTTTTAAAAATTTTTTTGAACTAGATCATAGGAAATTCTGCACTGTCCACTGCACTGGTTACTTGAGAAGCTGGCCTACAAGTATTATTGGAATGGAAGAAGAGAGGAACAATAAGGAAGACAACAATTTCACCTGCCTTGTTGCCATTGGGAGATTATATCCACATACCATCCCACAGAACAGCGGCGAGGTTAAAGTGAAACCAACTGAATTTATAACCCGTTTTGCAGTGAATGGGAAAATTGTCTATGTGGACCAAAGGTAACATTTATATGCCTTCATGACTAGAGTTCAATGGGATTTTTAAGGTATTAAAATGTGGCTTTGGACTGGTGGGACTTTTTCTTTTAAGGCTTCTAAACAGGAAATAAAGTTTAAATGAAAAACAATATGGATATTATCAGTAAATTTGATCAAGCTGAAATGTAAACTTGGAATATTTCTTAAGCCAGCGGTACAGAACCTGGACATGGGTCTCTGGTTACAATTTTACTGGCAATGGATTGGTTGGGTGTTCTCTGGAGTAGCCCCCTGCCTGGGTGTCCATTCTGTTTTGCAGCTCTGATCTGGCTTAGTGATGCTCCTGAGTTACTCATCCCTGAGTCCACTTCCCTGCTGTCCTGACCATGTATGGACCTTCAGGATTCTGGAAGGGAATTTGCTCACCAATTCTAAGTTTGTTTGTTTTTATTTTAAAACCAGGGCAACAACAATTTTAGGATATCTGCCTCAGGAACTTCTGGGAACTTCTTGTTATGAATATTTTCATCAAGATGACCATAATAATTTGACTAACAAGCACAAAGCAGGTATGCATTGAGTGGGGGTAAGGTTTGGGCACTTTTTAATTGCAGCTTCAACTCTTAATTTCTCATTCCTGTGAAATCCAAAACTTGCATTAATCGTCAAAAGTTTGATTTATATAGTGATAGACCATTATACTAATTATGACCTTTTCTTAAGTTCTACAGAGTAAAGAGAAAATATTTACAGATTCATACAAATTCAGAGCAAAAGATGGCTCTTTTGTAACTTTAAAAAGCCAGTGGTTTAGTTTCACAAATCCTTGGACCAAAGAACTGGAATATATTGTGTCTGTCAACACTTTAGTTTTGTAAGTAATATGTTTCTATGTTGGTAAGACCTTTTATTAATTTCAAATGAATATCTTTGCTTCCCTCTTCTCATCTTGCTAACTCATAAAACTGTCTAACCCTCTGGCTTTATATTACTGAGTGTTCAGAGATTACTATAGTTCAGAGATCATAATAATCTGGCTACTCAGTGTATATTGAGTAATTCACTCATTGTCTATTGGCATTAGTTCTCAGGAGAAGCTGAAAGTTTGCCCTTATAAAATACATCCCTGCCGAAACTGGTTTGGCTCAATGGATAGAGCGTCGGCTTGGGGACTGAAAGGTCCTGGGTTCGATTCCGGTCAAGGGCATGTACCTTGGTTGCAGGCACATCCCCAGTGGGGGGTATGCAAGAGGCAGCTGATCGATGACTCTCTCTCATTGATGTTTCTAACTCTGTATCTCCCTTCCTCTCTGTACAAAATCAATAAAATATATTTAAAAAATAAATAAATAAAAATAAAATAAAATACATCCCTTTTTTGCATAGAATAAAATATGATAGTGAAATTCTTTATTCAAACCTCTCCTTCCTACCCTCCATGGCTGTGTCTTATCCCATCACTAAGTGATATGGATGTGACTTTAAACTGTATGTCACTGTAAGAGGTTGTTTATCCTCCACATCATTGTGCACGAACATCTTCTAAGCCTGGGGCACCGCAGGTGGCTGTGCAGAACCCTTGGTGGAGGGATGAGCACTGCTTGCCAAGTCCTGGTCTATGCCGTCAGCCTGAAGGGAGAGCCAGCTTTTCCTCATTTGCACAATATGCTAGCATGGCCCTGTTCTAAGTTTATTCTTTTTCTATACTTTTTTTTTTAAATTGCTACAATGTTTCATCAAACCTATTTCCTTGTTTATATTTAGCTTTATTTAAAAGCCGCAAAAGCTCTTCCAGCAGTATCTGTTGCCTTCTTATAACCTTGCCTTCTTATCAATAATATATGAACTGACAGTTTATAACTATGACAACATGTACTTTATAGGGTAATAGGGCACTTGGTACTTAGCACATTAGTACCTTGATCTCTGGTGGTAATATTAACAATATGCATGTATAAAAAAATTAAATACAGTTACTCTAACAATTTCCTTAAAAATGGTGGAAAAGCACAATTTTACTGGCAACGAATTGGGCGGGTGTCTCAATCTAAAGATGTCACTGCTGGTGTTTCTAAATTCTAGGGCACACAGCGAGACCGGAAGAACATCATCACTTCCTTACAGCTCTCCATCGTTGGAAGGTAAGCTTGGTTTTAGATGGAAACGTGTTACCCAGACTGTTGTTGCTACCATCTTTTTCTGTCTTGGAGAGGTAAAACTTTCAAGGTGAAGTTGAAAAGACTTTTGTGGGTTCAGTTATCCTCCTCAGAATTTGCACAGTATTTTGGTCACACCTCCTTTACAATCTCAGGTTGTATTGCAGTTCATTGTTCACTCGGCTGGCTGACCACAGACCGAGTTCTCTGAGAGTAGGAATGGTGTTTTATCCATCCTCTGTCCCTGGCAGCTAGTACAGTTTCTTGTTCTTCGTGGCACTCAAAGTATCTGTTGGGCACATTAATAAAAAGCTTGAAGGAGGAGTTTTTCACCACAGGGAATTACATAAGGTATTCCTTGTATAAATAAAAATATTAGGAAATATTAAAAATAAACTACTATCACTCTGCCTTTTGTATCGATATGAAAGTGGGTGGGAACTGTCTGTACTCAAAGGCTACAGGTCAGCAACTCTACACATTTTATTCATTCACACTTTTGAATAAACATCTTAAAGCATCATGAATTATGTTGGTAATGCAAGCATGAATGTTTCTAACAGTTTAAGATGCGGCTAGTCTGTTTCTTTTAAAGATAGAAATACTTGAAAGAAATATATCAATCGAAGATATATGCCTTTTTAAAGTTCTCAATTGAATTTCCCTTTTGTGGTTTAGAGTCCTGTGTCGGTGTGCCTGGACTGTGCACCGGCACGGTGCTTGGTGCCGGCAGTATCGGCACAGATATTGCAAATGAAGCTCTGGACTTACAAAGGTAATGTTTCATCTTTTGCAGATATTACAAGTAAAGTTGTTATGCTTATAAAACTAATATTCCAAAATCAATATTTCCTCTACACAAACGGTAACCAGTTCAACAATGTAATGAAAGAGAAGATCACCCTTATGGTAGCAACAAAACAGATAAAAAGGCATTTAGATATAAATTTTATAAGAAGTATCTACAACTTGATGGGAAAAAAAGTTGAAATGCAGATGACATGAATAACTTTCCAGATATAAGTTGTTTTTTAATGGGAAGACTCAGTATTGTAAAAATGTCAGTGTTTCCTGAATTAACCTATGAATTCAATGTGAATCCAGTCAAAACGTTTTTTTAGAGTCCAACAAATGGTAGTACCTATATTAGAATATCCAGCAAAATTCTAAAAAAAACCCAAAAAATTGAGACTAAAATGGTCAGGTATTATAATCCTATATAATAAAAACCTAATATACAAATTGTCCCTTGAATGGGAGTCCAACCAAGAGTTTGACCACTTGCTATGACATGTTTGGCCACTCCCTATGACATGTGTTGACCACCGGGGGATGGTGCAGAACATGGTTGGCATCAGCAATGTGGCACTGGCAGTGAGGTGCAGTGGAGGTGCTGCCAACCCCAATGGGCTCTGACAAGAGCGGGACTGTGGTGGGAGGGTGGAGCAGGTGAGCAGATGGTACCAGGCCAAGGTGGGGCCCAATCGCCCCGCCGATTGCTCCACAGATTGTGACCAGTGGCGGTGGTGGGGAGCGGGGTCACTGCCTGGCTCCTAGGTGCTGAGGGAGCCGGACTGGGGCCCAGTGACTCAGGCGGACAGGGGCATGTGGGGGGCCAGTGGCCCAGGTGCTGCCCAGGGCCCAGAGGTCAGCTGGGACTTGCCCTTCCATGACAGACACTCATGCTTCGATTGCCAGGCCTAAGGACCACACCTTGCACAAATTTCATGCATCGGACCTCTAGTATATTATAAAGCTATAGTCAGGAAAACATTTTTATAAATAAAAAATATATATTTCAAGATATAAACTAATGAGAAAATAGGATTATAATATCTGATCTTTTTAGTCTCAATGAATTTTGTTTTTTGTTTTTTAGAATTTTGCTGGATATTCTAATATAGTTACTACCATTTGTTGGATTCTAAAAAAAACATTTTGACTGGATTCACATTGAATTTATATGTTAATTCAGAAAAGATTCAAAGACATGGATATTTATTATATGGTAAAAATGGCATTTTAATCAGTAAGGGGAAATAGATTAAACTGTTAAGGGCATTATAATAATTCTAAAACCATTTGGGAAAACAAAGAAAGCCAGACCCATTTTTATTCTTTATACTAATATGAATTCCAAATAAATCAGAGTTTAAAGTAAATCAATAAAAGTATTTTTAAACACAGGTATAAATTTTACAGTCTTAGTTTGGATCATTGTACATCCAGAATTCATGAAGAAAAAATATGACAAATTATATAAAAACTCAAAACTTAGGCACAACTATAACTTTTAACAAAATTGAAAGATAAATTATAAACTGTACATATGGGCTACTAATCATTTTAATATATGAAGAGTTTAAGTATAAAATTGTTAAACTGTATATTTTATATAACTATAATAACCTTAATCTGTATTAAATTTTGAATGTTTGATAATCAATATTGGTGAGAGTGTGAGAAAACAGTCGTTCTTAAACTGTCTGCGGGGATATGTTAGTCCAGCTGCTGTGGAAGGCAACTTAACTACACCTCTGCAAAATGTAAGTGTATGTAATCCTAGGCTCAGCAGTTCTGTGTGGGAGCAAATAGCCTTATACAACCTTGCAAAGATTTATGAACAAGACTATTCATTGCTGTGTTGTTTTTTTACAGTAGTGTTTTAAATATTTAAATATTTGTCATAACCATAACTTGTTATGGCATATTCATACAATGGAGTACTCCACAACTGTTGAAAATTAAGTAGCTAATATGGAAAGTTGTTTAAAATGCATGGTTAATGGAAAAAAAGAACAAGAACAGAAAAGGGTAGTGTGTATAATAACCCATGTATATAAGGCAAAAGAAAGGTGTGTATATAGGCCCGTAATTGCCCATCTAAAACTCTAGAGGCAGTATAGGTTTTGAACTCGGAATTTTAGATTTTAGAAAAATAGTGTCTTGGAAATCAGTTTTGAAATAGTTATGTGTAATATCTCCAGAGAATATCATGGGCAGCACCCCATAATCAATTAAATCTTATTTCTGCAATGAAGTATCAATATTTATAAATAAAACTAGAGGCCCAGTGCATGAAATTTGTGCACAGGGGTGTGTGTCCCTCAGCCCAGCCTGCACCTTCTCCAATCTGGGACCCCTCAAGGGATGTCTGAACTGCCCGTTTGGGCCCGATCCCGGTAGGATTGGGCCTAAATGGGTAGTCAGACACCCCTCTCACAATCCAGGATTGCTGGATCCCAACTGCTTGCTTGTCTGCCTTCCTGATTGCCCCTAACCACTTCTGCCTTCCAGCCTGATCAACCCCTAACCACTCTGCTGCCAGCCTGATTGCCCCTAACTGCCCTCCCCTGCAGGCTTGATCACCCCCAAATGCCTTCCCTTGAAGACCTGATCCCTACCAACTGCCTTCCCCTGATGGTTATCTTTATTGGCCATCTTGTGTCCACATGGGGGAAGCCATCTTGTGTGTTGGAGTGATGATCAATTTGCATATTACTCTTTTATTAGATAGATGGTCAGAGAGGACAAGGGAGATTAAATATTGGAGTATATTCATTAAACAAGATTGGGAAAGAATCATGATTGAAGTTGTTTGGTGGATATATGAGATTTTATTATATTACCTACTTTTATATCTGAAGTTTTCCATAATAAAGCTTAAAAATACTTTATGGAATGAAGTTTTGTAAATACATGTAGTAATACATAGTGGGATAAAATAGAAAATAGCTTCATACTAATCAGGTCAGATTTTGCTGAGTTTAGATCAATTCAGATTTTGCTGCTAAATGAATTATGGAAAAACATTTCTGGTTTCCAGGTATTTAAAATTTTGAAATTATAGAGAAGGAACTTATAACTGGATGATGTATAACAATACAAGTAATTTGTTCAAACAATTCAGAATTTCTTACCTCCCATAATGGGCCATGGTTTTGTGAGATGGGAAAAGTAGAAGAGAGAAATTTTTGTTTTATCTTCTTTTTGTATAGTTTGTATTTTTAATTTTTAAAATTGAAAGTAGTTTAAGTTGAAAAAAAAATTACTGGTAAGATATTTGTCATGTCTTGATGGATACCTGGGTGCTTCCACCTTGTGGCTATTGTGAGTAATGATACTGTGAAGGTGGCTGTACAAATGTAAGTTCTAGTCCTTGCTTTCATTTCTTTGGGGTATACCTAGAAACAGAATTGCTAGATCATTTGGTAATTCTATTTAGCTTTTTGAGGAACTGCTATTATGTTTTCCATAGCATTTTACATTCTCCACCAACTGCACAAGGGTTCCAATTTCTCAACAATGCTTGTTATTTTCTGTTGTGTGTTTTTTATGATAGGCATCCAAACTGGTATGAAGTGGTATCTCACTGTGGTTTTGTATGTCCAGAGCTTTTGTGAGATCTGTCCCTATGATTAGTGATGTTTTGAATCTTTTCATATGCTTATCTGCCATTTGTATATATTTTTGGAGAAATGTCAATTTAGGTCCCTTGCCCATTTTTCAATTGTGTTATTTTTGTGTGTGTTATTATTGAGTTGTAGGAGTTCTTTATTCTGGATATTAGCCACTTAGCAGATGTGATTTTTAAATATTTTCCTCCAGTCTCTGGGGTGCCTTTGCAGCCTCGTTGATAGTGAAGTTTTCAATTTTGAAAAATTTCTACTATATCTCTTCTTTCATAACGTGTGCTTTTGGTATCATATCCAAGAAATTTTTGCCAAATCCAATGTCATGAAGCCTCTTCTCTATGCTGTTTGCTGACAGTTTTATAGTTCTAGGTCTTACCTTTGGGTCTTTGATCCATTTTGAGTTAATTTTGGCATTTGGTGTAAAGTAATAGCACATCTTCCTTCTTCAGCATGTGAATATCCCAGTTTTCCCAGCAACATTTGTCAAAAAGACTGCTTTCTTCCACTGAATGAAACTAGAACCCTTGTTGAAAATCATTTGATCATATATGCTAGAAGGGCTTAAAATTTTTTTTTTTCCAGAGAGGGAGGGAGAAGGAGAGGGAGAGGGAGGAGGAGGGGGAGAGAGAGAGAGAGCGAGAGAGAGATCATGAGAGAGAATTATTGATTGGCTGCCTCCTGCATACCCCCTACTGGGGATTGAGCCCACATCCTGGGCATGTTCCCTTGACCAGAATCGAACCTGGGACCCTTCAGTCTGCAGGCTGATGTTCTATCCACTGAGCCAAACCAGCTAGGCTGGATGGGCATTTAAAAAAAATAATAATATTTTATTGACTTTTTACAGAGAGGAAGGGAGAGAGATAGAGAGCTAGAAACGTCGATGAGAGAGAAACATTGACCAGCTGCCTCTTGCACACCTCCTACTGGGGATGTGCCCACAACCAAGGTACATGTCCTTGACTGGAATCGAACCTGGGACCTTTCAGTCTGCAGACCGACGCTCTATCCACTGAGCCAAACCGGTTTCGGCTGGATGGGCATTTTAAAAGGAGTGGAAATGAAGCCAAACACTGACAGTTGGGTACCATTAGAGTGGCCAGGACGCAGTGGGGAAGGCATTTATGTATGGAGGCACCTCAGCCTTTGTGTAGAGGTGGATGGGAGAAAGCATGGTTTCAGGGAACTATTAGGAGACTCCATTGAGAGAGAGAGGAATTGGGTTGCTGAGATCAATGGGGAGTGTAAGATGAAGTCAGGCAGGGAGGGACTTCAGTAGCAGATTTCTACCCAGGGGACTAACTTGAAGAAAGCCATGCTTCGGAAGATTAATCTGGTCTAGGGGGAAGGGTAGCCAAAGCCAAGGGAGAGGTGGTGATTGAAAGCCATGAACCACAGAATGGGAAGCCAGCTCTTTACATTGACTGTCCTGTGAAAAATCCCCAAGACAGGCCACTGCCTTTTCTTCTGTTTTTAGACCCATTTCATTCCATTTCTGCATTAATTTCTCCCTCTGTAGTTTCTTGTCACCTGCCATTTTGGGGACACATGAAGTTATGTGTATGCTATTATGTGTTTCACATAGTTGAGCATTTAATAGTATATTATATGTTACTGTCAGTTTTACACATGTAAGTCTCATTGAAGGGATTATCCACATGTTTGATTACATTTTTGTCATGTGTCTATCATCCCTGAGGATGACCTATTACAGTAAAAATATCACACATTTTCTACTTAAAGGTTGCAAAATATTAAGATATTCTTCTTTATTTTCAATTCTGCTGCTTGGTTATCTTGATAAGGAGCTGAGTTTTTATGTGAATGCCTGTTTTAAACTAAGTGTGTTGTGTTATTCTATTACTTTGTGACGTGCTGTATTAAGATAAGTAACATGATTTACTTATGGGCTTTTTACCTCAGCGTTTTATGTTTCTATTTATTATGGAGTGTTTTCAGATCTCCATAGTCAAAAACAAATCTGGCACCCAAACAAGTTGGTCTGTTGTGAAAACTGTCATGATATTCCGTCTCATGCTCCTTCACTGTATATTTTTATCAGATTGTGATATATCCAGAGGAGAACATTTCCTTCTAAGAATACATAAGTACAGAAAATGTTTTATGTATCACTTTTTAAAGGTTACAGTCTTCTTCATCCTTTGGTGACTCAAGTCCAACAGATTCAGTGAAAGATACTCAACCTATAAACTGCAGGAATGTAAGTACAAACGTTAAGTGATAATATTCATGAAATAAGTGAACAGTAAAGTTTGCTTTTTGTTGATTATTTCTCCTGAGAAAGGAAGCCTTCTTAAAAAAATAAATGAACCCTTTTCTAGTTAGTCTGTGGTTTAATAGGCCACGTAGAATAGTGGTTAAGAGTGAAGTTGCTGGAACCATATGATTTGGGTCCAAAGCTGAGACTCAGACACTTAACTACTGCGTAACCCCAGGGCGGTTTTTTAAACTTAGTGCCTTGATTTCCTCTTTTGTAAAACTGGGATAATAATAGCACCAATGGTGTAGGAATTAAGTGATTAAATATAAAAACAAGCAAAAGCTTAACAGTGTCTGATACACAGCATGTGCTCAATAGTGTTCTTTCTGCTGTTTATCCAATTCAGCAGATTAAGTGGACACCTTCTGGTCTGTAACAAAGTTTAATAAAAGCCACAAGGTAAGAATAACATGCTATTTAATTCAATTCCATAAATACCAGCTATTTGAAGTGCATTGCTGCATATGCAAAAGTGACTCAACAAATGGCTAATATCTAGAAAACTCACATAGAGCATAATTCTAACGTAACTTCAACAATAAAAGGCTAACAAAGTGGTATACAAATATAATACAAAAGAGAAATTAAATCTGACCAAGGGCAAAAGGGAAATTGCAAATGTATTTTTACATAAGATATTATGTCTTTTGGCTAGTATTTTTTAATTTTATACATTTAATCAAATGTTTATTGGTTACCCATTTTGTGCCAGAAACAGAGGTTAAGTCATTGTAACAAAAATCACCAAGCAGTGTACATTATATATAGGCGTTCTGTAGATATAAAGTACCTCAACTTAAGACAATATAGATAAACTAGAGGCCCAGTGCATGAAATTCATGCAAGATTAGATCTTCCTTCCCCTGGCTGCTGGCACCAGCTCCCTCTGGCACCCGGACCCAGGCTGCTTCCCTCCTCTGGCCCCAGCTTCGTCAGGAAGGACATCCGGAATGACATCCAGAAGACGTCTGGTCTAATTAGCATATTACCCTTTTATTATTATAGATGACTTTCTATTTTGATACACTACCTTTACATTAGATTCTCTGGCCTGCAACTCTGTAACAGAATGATAACTTTCTGGTCAAAACCCCTAGTTTAATCCATTGTCCACTCCAAAGCACTATTTCCCTTTGTGGTATCCTGTGGGATAGAGTTTTGTCATCATTTTTTAAAAACAAAAAACTGACTCAGAGCACTGTGGTCAAAAACTTTCCCATCTCAGACTTTTCTTGTAGTATAGACACTCAGTTATGGTTATGAAGAACGTGGGCTTTGGAGTCAGGAAGACGGGGTAGAATTTTGTATGGCTCTAACACTCTGGGCACGAATGTTAGCTTCTTTAGGCCTCAGATTCCTGACCTGTAAAACAGCTCCCTCACAACATTTTTTAAGTGAAATGGATGATGCCCGTGGGTTGCTTAGGCACAGAGTCCTCAGTCCGTGCAGCCTGCCAGGGGCCGCACTGCCAGAGGCCCTTGTCTGATAACTGCGAAGAGCTTCAGTCACGTAGGAACCTTACTACTTACTGTCCTGTCTTTCCAGGTGTCAAACAAGGAGTCAAATCCACTAACTCCGTATGAAATGTGGGAGCTAGAAGCCACAAGGCAAAACCACAGCCCTGTTGCTCCCCCCAGTCATGAGCCACTCCTAGGTAAGTTTTCTTTGGCATCTGCCCGCCATTTTATTTTCCAAAAAGCTCCTCCATAATCACTATATTTTCAGGCATAGGAGATTTCTAGAGAAGCAAACAAGGTCAAAATGAAGATTTGTCCATTCAAAATCCTGAACACAGTAACCATACTCTGGATTTTAAAATGTATGTTACTTTAATGGACCTGTCATTGAATATTCAGTTATCAATGGAATTCAGGGTATTGTTCCTACCTACAGTGTAAATAAAACTAAGGTATTTCTATCCAGGACAAAGTGTCCACTCTCAGGAATTCAGGAATTTTTAAAGGGTACCAATGGTAAAAAGTTTAAGATGCAATTATTTATTCCATGTTTATACAAAGTTCACATCAAGTAAATTCAAGTGACACTGTTTCATACTCCCCATAACTGACATTAATCTGAAATTTTATGTTAATGGAAATTGAAGAACTTAAATAATCTGGGTATTAACTGTGCATAGACGACTTATTAATCACCTTAAATTCTATTGTACTTCTAAAGACATCTAGAAAACTGGTTAACCTGTAGCTGTGCTTTAACCCTTAATTTCTAGAACCTCATACTTATGTCTAACTTAAAGCTCATTTCCATGGTAACTCCTAAGGTCCTTTTTTCAATTAAAAATCTGGTTACTCCCCTTTTGTAAGAATACTAGAGACCCGGTGTACAAAAATTCATGCACTCAGGGGGGCGGGTCCCCAAGGGATCAGGCCTATGCTGGCAATTAGACATCTCTCTGGCAGCTCAGGAGCCCTCGGGGGATGTTCGACTAACAGCTTAGGCCTGTGTCCCGCAATCAGACATCCTTAGTGCTACCCAGCTTGTGGCTGAGCGGAGTTCCCGCTGTGGGAACACTCTGACCATCAGGGAGCAGTCCTGTATTGAGTGTCTGCCCCCTGGTGGTTAGTGCACATCATAGTGACTCGCTGTTCCCAGTAGTTCTGCCTTTAGGGTCAGTTTGCATATTACCCTTTTATTATATAGGATTAAGGCTTTTTATTCCCCGTTTGCCTCAGCCTTCTCATTTTTGGGGTTAAACAAGGTTTGTTTGTTTTGTTTTTTTTCTTCCACAAAGCAGGTTAAAGTTAAATTTCTCTTTTGCACACAAGTACATGCACATGCATCGCTGTGCAAGCAGACCTCAGCCTGCTTGTTGTCTGGGAGTCTGTACCTACTCAGGCTCTTATTTTCTAGTAAAAAACTCATACACTAGCTCACTTACGTGTATCAAGTGAATTAAGTGCTGCAATTGATCTGACATCAAAATAGTGACCCGTTAACAAATTTATCTGGCTTTTGCAATTTAAGACCTATGGTCTGCCCTCAAAAGATGCAGTGTATGGCATTCTAGCCATGCTTTGCCTTTTTGATACTAATCATTTTTATCCTTCCAATGTACTTACACGGGCCTGTATTTTTATTCTATAGGCGGTGCTGCCCAGTTGGATTTTGATGCCCTGTGTGGCAATGACGACACAGCCATAGCTGCCTTCATGAATTACTTAGAAGTAGAGGGGGGCCTGGGAGACCCCGAAGGCTTCAGCGACATCCACTGGACCCTGTAGCATTTGACTTTTAACTCCAAAAATGAGGAATGTTTTACAGTATTTCCTTTTCAAAGAACTGTATGTTCCTCTGTACTGTATTGATACTCTTTTTATCCTTTATTCTTATGAAGGTTCTACCAATTTTTATAGATTTGCACCCACTTTCACAGGGGTCTGGGGAAATGTGATGTATTTCTTCAAATAGAACTTTCTACAGACCCCTTTACTCAGCGAACTGGTTTTAAACTCACTAGCTGCTATTTTTTGCTAAAATATTTCTGACCAAGGTATCATATACATCTTGCTTTGGTTTTGTTTTTATTTATTTTTTATGAAGGTTTTTTTTTTTGAATTTGAGAAATTTAATAATGTTGACAAATTTTTTGGTCTCAAGATTCATTTAATTGACTTATAATATCGATAGTAGATTTGTGTGATTTGGAACATTTCCATTTCTTGTATATTTTCTTAATTGAGGACAGGGTTTATGTCTTTTTTAAGAAAACAGTGAGTACTTGAACACTTAAAGGGACAATGCAATTTATAGTCATGTTCAGTTTTTTAGACTTGGGCAAGCATAGAGCCAGGATATTTATGCCCAGTTGAGCACTTTGAGGTGAATGTTAAATGAGATGACTTTTATTTAAAACTCAGAAAAAGAAAAGTTTGCTTACAGAACAGGAAAGGTTCTGGGCCATAGATGTTGGTGATTAATTTTTGTATGTTTAATCTTAATGTAACCACTCAAGATATACAGATAGAACAGGTTTTCTATGTTGAAATGGTATGTAGAAACCGATTATCTTAGAGAAAGAAACAGGCCCAGGCAGATTAAATGTTTTGTGTAAAGACAATTAAATTCATATGTTTTTAAATACGTACTGTGTATAAACCAGTTTCTTTTTACACACTTGGAAAAGCAGCGAGCTCACTGGTTAGATGATTAATTAACTGATCCAAGAACTAGTCTTGGCTTTAAAGATGATTAAGCTGTTAGAGTTACTATTGCATATAACCAAAGGCAGTTAAATACATGGCAACTACCTGAAAAATATGAGGCAATGTGAAAGAATTTAAAAACCAATTTTCTAGCTGTAATTAAAAATTTGGAGAGCATTAATCCAGAGGTAGCTCATATTGAGTGCAAGGGTTAAGAATATTTAAAGCACTCTCAGTATATCTCCCATTTTGAAGGTCATATTTCCATAGCACCTTACATTTTAAGACTTCTTTCTGGTTCTAGTTTACCAAGTAAGTTCCTATAGTCTCTCTGCCCCACACATGAAAATAAGGGGCTGGGAACCTGGTGGGGAAACCCCTAAGGCTCAGGTGTGGGGTTCAAATCCAGTTCTTTCTCTAGATGGTTCTATGCCTTTCCAGCTGAGTGCCATGAGCCTCTCACCATAACAAAGCATCATTTGATATAGCTCATTTCTTTAGGCTGTGAGTACTAGATTGAACTTTGATCAGGTGTGGTAATGGCTAACATACCGACAGGCATTAACCAAGAGCAGATGTTCCCTTCAAGCGTGGAGACTGCAGTGGCTCAGTGGCCAAAGGCATATTGGTACGTGATCCTCCAGAGCTGACCCAATGCTGTAGACGTGTTAGAGGGTTGGCACCGCTCCTGGACTTGAGACAGCCAGGTTTAGAATAAGCCCAAGAAACCCTAAGAGATGGGGGGAGATTGGTTTGAAGCAGCCTACACATGAACGATCACATCTGTTCTCTTTGAGTCGTGCAGATGGATCTGCCTCACAAACATAACATGTGAGCGGTCTGAGTGGGCCAGGGGTTACAGGTAGGTCGTTGTGGCTGAATGGCCTCGAAAGCAGATGGGACAAACCATGATGCAAAGAGTTGAGAGGCAGAGTTTCCAGAGACAAACTACTGCAAGAGGACTTACTCCATAGACCAGTTGGCAGATGGCCAGTTGGAGGCTTTGATCCTTTATAACCCACTCTAACGTTTTTCTGTAGATCTTCTTGCCCTGGACCCAGAATCCAATCCACATGTATGATACTGTATAGCTCTCTCAAGTTTAGTGTTGTATTTTTTTTTTCCAAAACCCATTGTGTTTGCATTTGATTGCTATTGCAATTGGCAGATGTTTATATGTCTTAATATTACTTTGTGTCCTACCAATTTCTTGAATCTTGGATGAAAATCTCTATATATTGGATGAAAGCAATGGGATTATTTATTTATTTATTTATTTATTTATTTATTTATTTATTTATTTTGTGTGTGTGTGTGTGTGTGTGTGTGTGTGTGTGTGTGTGTGTGTGTTCCCCTTCCTCCCTCCCAAGAATTACAGTGAAGTAGTGGGTGGAAGAGTGCCTACAGTTGAAAGAGCCCATTCAGCCTGTATTTAGCTGTGTGACTGCAGGTAAGCCTTTTAAACTCTCTGTGTCTCAGTGTCCTCATTTGTGACAAGAGATTTGATCTCCCAAGTTTACTTCCAGTTCTGATTCTGAGATTCTAATCCATAGGACTTGAGCATTAGGGTTTAGAACTGTGCGGTCCCGTGTGATAGGCACCAGCTGTATGTGGCTACTGAGCACTTTAAATGTAGATTTCAGTTGAAATGGGCTGTGAATGTAAATTTCATAGCATACTTCAAACAGTATAAAAAGAAATATAAAATATATTAACAGTTTTATATGGATTCCATGTTCAAATCTTATTTTGGATATACTGAATTTAATGGAACAATACATTTTTACTGTTGACTTCCCTAATGTGGCTATTAGAAAATTTTAAATTGCACATGTGCCATACATTATATTTCTATTGGATGGCTCTGCTCTAGAACATTTTATTAAGTGAATATTACTGAAGTAGACCAAAGGTTATATCATGAATATGATATTTACCTCTAAATGCTATGGTTTAAAAGAACAATTGTGTATTTATCCTTGATTTAGTACAAATAACTGAACCTCTATCCATGTATCAAGTTTAAAACTTTTTAAAAATTGGTAAACTTGAAAATTTGATCACATATTTTATTATAGGATGATAGCCTGAAATCAAATAAAACTTGAGGTATAAATTGACACTATATGGTAGTAATTAAATTTGGAAATCCATTGAGAAATCAAAAGACAAAACAGTACAGACCAGAGACTTCTGGTGAACAAATGGGATTAAAGTATTTAATTGCAGTGTTACCATGGGGAAAGGCTATTTATGAGTCATGTTCTTTGAGGCGTCTCTGTAGAGTCAGGGGCACAGGGAAATGAAATAGCCGCTATCTAGCTGTTGGACCACGTTTGGTGGTGCCATTTCAGATCCCGCTCCAAAGGGGTCTGAGCCTCTCAAGCAGGTTATTTTGGGGCTCTAGAACTGGAGATTCAGATCTGCCAAGCAGAGTATCCTGGCAGAGCAAGGCTGACAGCTAGGCTAACCAGAAGCCATGAAGAAAACCTGCTAAGTGGCCACTAGGTGTCACTTTTCCATTTCTAGAGTGCTTTGTTTTCATCAGGTTAATTTCCCGAAGCACCGTGGGGCTTAGGAGAGGCCTTTATTATGTCTTTTGTGTGTAGAATACGTCTGCCTCTCTGGTATGAGTTATTTCATGAGAAATGCTTTTTAAGAGAAGATTTTCCTACATGAGATAAGGAGCTTTCCAGATGTGGCCCTAGTAAAACACTAGCCTTAGAAAACTCATCCAACCTAGAATATGCTTTGTGAACTCATTTGAGAGCGTATGGATGTGTGTTACTGCTCACACATTCTTGAGCGTAAGTTTGTCTTTTATGCCGTTTTTAGCTTTTTTCCAGTTCACTCGTGCGTCTCTGTATATTGGTATTTTTAAATTTTTGTAGTAAGCAATGAAAAGAGTGAAATTAAATTATATTTTATAACAGTTACTAGTTTGGATTTTTTTAATTTGATATTTTAAAGTTCCCCCAAAATATCGTATCCCTTCACTGCCTTTATAAAGTGGAAACAGACTCCAGTGTTCTCAACTCACTGGGCAGAGAGGTACATTGAACTACATTGCTTATACAACTGTGGGTGTGTTCACCGGGATATGCTAACTGCTGAACAGCTCTATAATATCAGTGGCCTCCCAGGAAACCTTTCTGCTCACACCTCAGTCCAGTGTAACCAGTGCTGTCTCTCTCCCTCCTCCTCACTACCTGCCTCTTCCTGTTTCCATCTCTCAGCTTTGCTTTCCCCTAAACTGCTTTTATCCTCCGATGGACCTTCTTCCCTATATTGACATTCAGAAGTTCCCAGCACATACTCCCTCTTATACCTGGCAATCTCAATGCAAAGAGCTTTTTCATTTCCTAATAATTCACATAAAGATGTACATTGATTGGGCCTTTGGATTAACTTGGGTCACGTGGACTGTCTTGTGTGGTCAGCAGGATAGAAAGTACAGATTGAAAGACCAGGATAGAAAGACCAGGCTTTGGTCACATGCCCACACCTGGATGTAAGGGCATCCTCGAAAGGGAAAGCATGAAAAATAGCCAATTCCCAGAAAGCTTAGGGCCAGAGAAAGGCATGTGATAGAAACATGCAATTCGTCATAGTTAATGATTTCCTAGGATTTAGGTATGTGAGTCTCTAGTCTTTGTTTTTGATTGTTTTATATGGAGGTGGAGAGAGTAGCAAGTTATATCACACGTTTTAACTCCAGGCATCTTTTCTGAGTAATGTCTAGCCAGGAGTCACTTTGAAGAACTCTCCTTTGCTTGAGGTAAGTATGCGTAGAGACAATCAGTAAGGAATTGTCTTAAATTTTGTCTGGCTATGTGTTTCTGGCATTTGATTTATAGTTCTCTGGAAAATGTTACTTTATTTTACATCTTGTGGAATTTGGTCTCCATGAATTGTTTACATTTTAATAGAAAACAAGAATATTTTTAAACTATTACCACATCTTCAAAGTAGGAGTGGAAATTTCAAGAGCGGAGAAAGGAAATTCTACAACACTGTCCTATTTTCTGTGATTATTGTAAACCAAAATGATTAAAAATGAATGAATGACTAAACAAGGG